ATTCATCTTATGCCGTCATATAAATAATAACGAAGTACGTAACCTTCACGAATATAAAACAAAAATTGATCCAAATAGTTTCAACAATTCAGCTAACATCATCAGTCAACTTTGGATTTGAATCCAACCGGGTAGTATTAGAATCCCTCACAAAATAACTGGGGTGCATGCGATGACCGCTCAGGGTAATTAAATACAAAATACAAAAGGCTTTTTTCATTGTGATGAATACGTCAATAGTCTAATCTGTACACGTATGTACACCTTGAACATTCAGTAGGAATTACATTATTATTCCCTTAGTGAACAACCATTGTGTCCGGTACAGTCTTACAGTTTATTTGTGAGCATAAGAGGCTGAATGGCAGCGTCCCCAGTTGCAGCAGTGGGTGATGTGAGATCTTTTCTTAGAGGTGACATGAATCCCTTCTCTGCAGATAGGTCATGCTGACGAATTGCAACAGGCACAAAACCTAGCTCCAGAAATGCCTCTATGCAGACTACCTCTAACCATTCAACATTATTACACTTATATTAGTTATTTTGGAAAACCATAGAACATATGAAAAATATGTGATTTCGGCGACTTTATGCAGATAAATTAGAACAGAATGCAAACATTCAGATGCGTTACTGTTTGAGATTAGTTGTAAATCTATTAAGAAAATTATTCATTGAATCCTTCCTTAGTTAGGAATTTCTTGCTTGGTTTCATTATCAACCAAAAAACATGGAAAAGCATGGAATATCCTTTTAAAATCGTAGTAATTATCAGTCTAAATTTCGAGCATTCTAATGGGGCTGATAAGATTCTGGAGTGGTGGGGGCGGTAGACTAATGTACTTAAGCTCCGGGCCCAGGATCAAACCATCTCAGTTACAGAAGTGATTTGCTGAGAATTCCATTCCGAATCGTCGGAAAGCGAAAACCTTGGCGATGTCACTAACAACCATTCCATGTCGACCACAGAGCTTAAGTATATTGATCCTGTTGCTCCACTTCTCCAGAATCTTGTAAGCCCCACTGGAACGCTTAAAACTGAGTTTGATAAATTCACTAAGAAACCATGTTTCGGAAGTTTGTAAGGTATTTTCATTTGGTCATAAGTGACACAACTAACAGCGACAATTAGCGGTTAATGCGTCTTCATGCACAGTTGTGTTGGGATGGCTGAGGAGGCTGTAGAACACTGCGTTCTATTACCCCCTGGGTTAGGCTACAAGAAAGCCTTAGGAATGTTATACAGCCAGTATGGTTAGCCCAACTCAGTTTTTGAGGGCTTCGTTTGTGAATTACTGTTTGGCCCACGACTGCACCCAGAAGATCTAGATGGGTGGCAAAGGTTGGTAAGCCAGATGACAGATTTCAAGATACATTCGACCCAAATGAACCACAGTGTCGACTTGGACATTTTTATCAACCTTAAATTTGTTGTTCAACATCTACCTTGGCACCTATAATGGTGATGTCCTCAACTAGAAAAAGATAGTTAAAAATCTGAAATGCCGAATATTTCTCGACTCACAGAATTCCTAAAATGGCAGTTATCACCGTCCATAAGTTGTTAGGGGCAAATAGCTAGTGGAAAAGTAGAGGCTAATGAGTATTCCAGAGTTATGGCATCACAATGTGTTACCGTCATGATATCACGAATCCAGAATTCACCTACAATTTGCTCTGAAGATCACGACTTATATGAGGGTCAACGTTTTTTGTCGATGGGTCACAGAGATAGACTTATCTTGTTGGTGAACCATAAACTGTGCTTAAGCTGCCTGAAGTCAAATCGCCGAGGTGATACTTACCGTTCAGCAGGGAACTGTGATATCCCCAGGAACTGTTACATAATGAAGATAACCCAGTAGAGAAGACTTTCAACAATGCTAGTTCATAATTAGAGACTTCCTTCCTAGGATATGTGCCGATTCGTATCTTCAGTCGCAAACGTCTTCTCGGTACATATTCATTTTTTGAGAAAGGTTCAGACACTATACTGTTGCGGAGTTATCTTGCTCACCGAATTGGTCTGGAGGGGATAAATAAATCGTTGCAGGTGACATCCATCTTTGGGACTACATCTCAGGATTCAGTTATGGTTGATTTGGAAGTCAAATCGCTAAAATTGGATTACAATTTGAATATCAAGACTGCCTACACTGTTGAAAAGCCACCTGTTAAAAGAGGTACCATTCCATCAGACGAGCAGCTGAAACGATGGCCTCAGCCAGGAGAAGTCCTTTATAAAGATGTTGAAGGTAAATGGGTCAGTTTACTGATTGTAACCAACGTACCTGTAGCACACTGAGTGCTTGAGTAGAGTGTAGGAAAACCCAGTCAAACATACTCATCCTTATCAGTCTTTGATTAAGTTTCGTTGGTTCCCGGAAACCATTATAAGGAGGCCAGATATTTCTCCAACTTAGTGCAAGGTGAAACAGTAGAAAATAAGTTGTTGGGAACCTCCGAAGCTGAATCCCGCGATAGCTAAACATGCCAAAGGTCGAGTTCTGCAGTAGATACAGGATTTTCAGAGGTAACTGGTAAGGGTGTTATGAAAGCAGAGGCCCTCTTACATACTCTTTAGGAGTGTCAAGATGCCTTAGAACCTAGTAAATGCCATGATCTCAATCGTTTATCAGGCTCAGGAGCACGACGTATCAGTTTCTGAAGGTTCCGATAAATATATTTCATTGGGATCTTCTGTCCGATTTACACCTCTAGAAAATGATGACTAGTCGTCATCTGCTTTAAGTGAAGTGCTAATTTCAAGTTTATCAGATGATGGTGTATGTGAAAGAAATAAAGTGTGAACGATAGACTCGTCTTTTAATCCTCTGATCAAACATCAACTACCTGCATTGTTCATTTCGACTTGATGAACAAAAATCACAATCTGTTGATTGTTGTGATGAAGTGCCTTCATTAAATGGAATTAGATCTGGGCCACCGCCTATTCAAATACTGAACAGACCAATGAACATAGTTACGAACAGTTTCTGTTATCACGCTGTTCAGTCTGCTGAACATTGAAATGGTAATTTAGGTAGAACTTCAATGTTGACAGAAACCCATTCATTTGAAGAGCTGGCTCCAGTAGCTAAAGCTCACTTAATCTGTAATAATTTAAGTGTTCCTGGAGGTCTTAATGCATCTATTATTGTTGCACGGGTTCATCAGATTCAAGTCACTTCTGCAGCTTACCAACCACCCACCTCAGTTAATTCACAACCGCCATAGATGACTCAAAATAGTTAAATTCCCATGCATTTGGAGGTGGCAGAGTTCTCCAATAATTTCAACGTTATTGGTGAGTCTACTGACAGTTCGGTGTGTACTAATCACAATTTCATTCCATCCCCATTGGCATATGATCTTCAGCAGACTGAAAAAGGCCAATTCCACGCCGGTATGATGAAGATTTGTCCTAAAAAAATTCGGAGCGATAATCGAGTCGATTAGATCAACCATAGGTTGAGCGACGCTGAATCGGTCTCAACTACGGTACTATATCACAAATGAATTAATTAAATATAATATGGAAACCTCAAACTGTGAGGTGTCTGTAGCTGAACGCTTTGAACTGCACAGTCACTATGCTTCAATAAGAAAAACAACAAAGCTGTATCAACGGCGATCCACGATCAGATTGAACAGGGCATGAATCCTAAACACAGAATAAATGTTATCAGATTAAGATAATTTTGAGCAGACAATTGGTTTCGGTAACCACTTCCTCAGACTCTACGTTTATAAATCCATGAATATTCGAATATAAAATAGGCAGTGAAGAATAAATGGGTTTGAATAAACAATGCTCAACAGAGAAGGGTAAATAAAAACAGAGTATACAGCACACACTGGCTAGTTATAACTAAATAATTTACTATATATCATTTGGAGAGTTAGTACATTAACTGATCTAGAGATTTCAGTTTCAAACAGCATTCGTGGTAAATGAAAACAAGCAGATAAAGTTAATATTTACTTTTCAGTTAAATTCTCATCTATGACTCTCCGGTATTACGTCATGATTACTATTATTCTCTTGGGTTTCTAGTCGAATATGGGACTTGAACAGCACATCATCTCAATGATTTAAATGAATCATAATGCATTTCACCATAATTTTATTCTTTCGTACTCCTTCCCCCTTACTGAACATGACTTAGAAAACTTTCACATCTGTCGTTTTGCATGATCACTTCAATGTGGTTTATTTGCTTGTCAGTTTTATATCTCGCAATCTATTTCTAATAGTATATATGTATATCCCTCTATGTAGAGTATTCAGTTCTACCAAAATTTAATAAATTCATTAAATCCTGCTTTATTAACTTCTGTTGCTTGTTTTAAGTTCGTATTGGGAAATAAATGTTTTCAACTCACGATATCAGAGTAATAAAATATAACGTATACTACTTCTCAATGATAAGTAGTATAAAGTTGAACACAAAAGAAAACAATATCAAAAGATGAATAGGAGGGGAATATATTTAAGATTTGTCCAGTAACTTTTATGCCTAAAATTTGAAAAGAAAATTTAACAAGAAACAGTGAAATGCTGTTTGTCTGGATCTGGTTTATTTACATTTTTTCAAACAGGCATGATTAAAACATATTTGCTTCGTCCTAGTTTGGTACTGGGAAGAGTCCCAAACTAGGACGAAACAGCTCTCCAGTAGTCCCAGGTCAGCTTTTGATCATTCCTGTAACCAATCAAATCCCTGCAAACCAACACTGGATAAAAAGAGATTTATTAGTGCCTGTAAACAGTTTCGCTTTGAACTTATATTTCTACAGTGTTCAATTCAGAAAGAAATACTGGCTTTATCATGTGACATACTGATTTGGTGGATATAATGTCATCTGTCATTTTAGTGACCACTGTTACGTGGATTTTTATCTTAATCTTATGAATGTTTATGCACGTCAAGTGTTTATCGTGGTTGAGTGAAATATGAATGTGCGTATTCACTATAATTCTTTCTCATTACTAACAGTGAATATTTGAGGTTAGTTATGATATATTTTCTTTTTTGTCTCACGATTATGTATCTGATTTCATTCATATAGATTTACATATTACACTAATCAACCGACAAGGCGATTTTTTATTGTTGAAATTAAAACTGCTCCTTATAAGACGATACCTCGTTTACTAGATCGACTTCAATGTTGTGTTGATAGGACACTAAGCTAATATTCTGGAGTCATCTTACTTGAATCCTCCCGTAACCCAGATTTTAACTCTAATTGCAATCGCCACTCATTTCACTACTGTCAGTCCGTCAGTCCAAGAGTCTAATCGAAAAAAACACACATTAAAGTGATATCTTTAAGTTTATGAGCATGTCTGGTCGCCTATGCTCCACTAATTCACCAAATTTATGTGCAGGCATCTATGACTTCTGAAAAACATATGCTGCAAAAAGTATGTAGCTGTAAAGTAAGTAACCTTATCGCCACTTTGATAATTGGACCCTGCTCACTTGCTCAAAATTGAAGAATTCTACTTTGTGAGTATCAATTTATGATAACAGATTGTTATTAATTTGTGGTTGTAGTCTAACTTGACTCGACTGCGTCGGTAGACTCGACACTATAACAAACTGATGACTTGAAAACATTCCCCCAAACTGAGTTAGACGCAAACGTTGGATTTATCTGTGACAACAGCAACAACGATTCTATTTTTGGAAATTCCGGGTATGTATAGCTAACAGATTCCCGGAAATTTAGAACATAAATAAATAACGAATATCTGATTGGTTGTATGACCTTAGAAGTCCTCGGAAGTCCAGTCCAAAAATAAACCAATCAAATACTGTCCATTCTAGTTATCACATCAGCGCATGCATTGATCGTGACTTCACGTCTGACAGTGACAGGTTGTTCGGCCTACCACACTTATTCAAGTATTGGTTTGTAGGGATTTGGTTGATTGTTTACAGGATTTCATCATGAGCTGACATTGGTTAGAGAACCATTGGAAAACCTGGTAGTACTGGACAGCTGTTTCGTCCTAGTTTGGGTGTGAGGACAAATACTCGCCGAAGACATTGGCTATCTGTTGCGCTATATCGTGAACTGGCAGAAGTCAGAATGCACAAGCTGGTCATTTAATCGGGTCCCAGTGGCTTAATGGTCTACGAGCTCGCCTTGTAATCAGAAGGTTCAAGGTTCGAATCTCGGTGGACACGTACTGATGAAGAGTCCCAAACTGGGACGAAATAGCTGTCCAGTACTCCCAGGCTTTCCAATGGTTCTCTAACCAATGTCAGCTTATGATGAAATCCTGTAACCTACCACACATATGCAACTATGTTTATTTGTGTTAACAAAAGTTATCAAACTGTGCCTTTATACCCAACAAAATATTAATAAATATAAAATAACTTGAAAAAAAAGAACAAACAAGTCCATTATTAAATTTAACAAAATTTAATGGTGTGGTTATTTACCAGTTTCTCATGTGTTTTCCTTATCCTACGAATAACCCTATTAAAAAATTGAGAACGATATACCTCACATATAAATAAAGCTAATGACTGATATTCGTCTTGAAACATCTATAACCATAGGATACGTACAGTTGATCCATCTCTTCCGAAACAAAGAAAACGGTCACTACTCATTTATATGTGGTGAAATCTTAATCGGTAATGCTTAATGACTTAAAAATCTAATTGTTAATATATGTATGCTATTAAAACAGACTACGGAAATTTGATTTTATGAATATGATATTGATAGTCATCATCGTTTACTATTCCAATTTGAAAGCAGTCGAATCACTGGTTGAAAATTAACCTAATGCCTATTAGTGACTGCCCCCTGGATAAAGTAGACTGCAGTTCCAGTCAGAAGTAGTAATCAGAAGGATCCACACCAACCATTTGAAGATGCCATTGGCCGGTCGTAATGTTATATATATATCGATAATTGGTAGAAGTTGGAAATCATGGGACATTGGATTCCATCTCAAGGGCTAGATAGATGGCTAACAGCATATCACGTTATCTGAAGGTCTTGGTCTCGATCTCCGTGGGGGACATGAGTACGTAGTACAGAAGCGCCTTAATCTATGACGAAACAGCTAACCATTACTCCTTAGTTTGTAGCAGTTCTCTGACTGGTATCAGTTTTTGATTTAACTTGTAACCAGAGGACAACGGTCAAATGTATTAGTAAGATTTACGCACAAGCAATCAAAGTTTCTGAGATCATCTAATGGTTGAAATGAATCATCTATTATTGTAATATACCAATATTATTTTATTTTTCTGGATTGAGGATCACTAATTACCCAGTCAGCTAAAATACTTCACTTGTAAGGAGAGAAAGTCCAAATTTACATTATAGAATGATATATTTCTATCTCACACGTTTTCATCAAATGAAATTACAACACTTATAAAAGAACCAATGAAAGCAACATACTTCAGTGTTTGAATGGTAGTAGTAAAACTGTTATAAAATCAACGCATCTGAAATGTGAGCATCACAACTTCTAGTTCAAGTTGCCATCAATTATATGCTTTCAAAGTGAGAAACGAAAGGGGGAGAGGAGAAGACAGAAAACAGAAAAGTTTAATAAACAAACAGTGTTAGCTTATAAGTTCAAATAGTAATTCAGTCTTCTCAGTGAGATGAAATCACTAATATGGATGACTGACCACTGTAATCAAAATGCAGTTACCAAGGCAGTGTGAGATTTATCACAGTTTATTTTTATGTGCATAAGTTTGCCTTGAAACTTTTTATTTCAACCTCTTGAGCAAGTGGTAGTAAATTTGCTGTCCTTGGTGTATTTAGTATTTTAAAGGATTTGGAAATCTCTATGAAATGACCCGTATTTACAAGGTGTCTAGTAATTGCATTTCGCGAATATCCGCTTCCGTCTAGGCATACATTTTTAGGATATTCTTAGAAAACCAGATAGAAGCTCTTCTTTCTGTCCTTGCAATGTACTTACTCTTGCAAATGCATGTAGATGTATAAAAGCAGTTGAAGGTGACATAAGCAGGGTAGTTTTATGCAGTGATTTCGTCTCAGCGGAAAAATTTAAATCTTATGAACTATAACCTTCTTGATTTGCTGTGTGAACTTAGAAGCTAATACTTTCTGTTTATTAAACTTTTCTGTTTTCTGTCTTCTCCTCTCCCCCTTTCGTTTCTCACTTTGAAAGCATATAATTGATGGCAACTTGAACTAGAAGTTGTGATGCTCACATTTCAGATGCGTTGATTTTATAACAGTTTTACTACTACCATTCAAACACTGAAGTATGTTGCTTTCATTGGTTCTTTTATAAGTGTTGTAATTTCAGTTAGTTGTCTTCATTTAATGAGAACGTGTGAGATAGAACTATATCATTCTGTACTACAAATTGGGTCTTTACCAAGTGAACCAAACGTATGAAATAGTTCATTGGCCTAATAAAATACGCAAAATTTCATTACATCTCTGATCACTGAGTCTTAAAGAAATACTTAATCACAGTATTTTCAGAGTGATATGCCTTTACTTTTGAAAGTAATAAAAATTAGAATCTCACAATATTTACATTAATTTAGAGAAAATAATTTGACCTTCCCTAAAGGGTGAGTTTCTTGGTTCTTCTTCGGGTAAATAAAGCTACAACTTTTTTCTGTTCTCAAATGTCACTTCCTTATTTTTTTTTGTTATTATAAATATCAGGAGTATTGTATCACTTTGACTGACAGTTGAAATGTTACAACACCAAATTACAAATTCAAAGAGAAATAAAATAAAAACAAATGGAAATAAACAAAAATATCTAATGAAAACAAAAGGGTTAATATTTATCTTATTAGGAATAAAAGTAGTTCGCCAAATAGTTCACACCAACAACATTAACTTCATACTTTGATCGGATACTAGATGGTAACTGGTGTCATGCATCTAGTCCTTTGTTTAGTGAAGGTTGAATTCCATCAGTCAAGTTTGCAATGTGGCCGTCCTGCTGGATGGCTAGACATCACGGTTAACTTTGAGTTGTTGTTGTTGTTGTTAGACGATTGGAGGTAATCTCTAGGAAGCACCGTGATGATGAGCCATCTAGCATAGTGGCCACATTGCAAACTTGACTGATGGAATTCAGTCTGCATCAGATCAAGGACTAAACTGGTGACTAACTACTGTTCGGACAAAAGTATCCAATACAGTCCTATAGGAGGTCAATCGCCAACCTGAATTGCTCAGTGGTAAAATCTCTAAATGCTGCACTGAGTAACATCAGTTCAAATCTCCTTCATGATTGCGGATACGCCTTGCTGGTGAGAGCCAACTAGCACGAAACCTAGGTGCAGGGTTTTATGCCAATCACCTCCAACTACCTAACAACTAAACTAACTTCAACTGATCTTACTAGATTACACACTGCGTTTTTACCGGTTTTCTTTTGAAAAAGCACGAATACATTGACCTAATTCTAACTTACTATATATGGTGTACTGTACTTCTATTTAAACCGTTTTTTAGAGTTCCTAAGGTTACTATTTTTGAGTAAGTACATTGGTTAGCACAAATTATACTAGTATAATTTAATGTGTGTAATGTGCTGAACAATATTTCAAAGGAAGGTGAAATCCATAAGAGTTTATTTTTTAGTGGAAATCGCCTTCAGTGTATTGGAGATCAAACAAAATAATGATGCAGTTTAAATTACACAGGCTCTTTTGATTAGTAAGTTGATACTACACCCCCTATCAGACTAAAGAGCAGAAAGTTAAGTGGTTGGCGAAATAAGACATTTGAAGTCTGTGTACTGAATACCATCGAAATCCCTTAAGTACATATTGTTCTTTGCTTTAAGAATGTAAATCTGTACCCTCCATCTGTAAATAACCGCTGTTATCATCATTATTCTATTGCTTCGCTTTCCTAGTAGAACGCATGGCTTCAAGCTTTTCAGCCTTAACGTTTTGGTAGTAGTTGTATTATTCTTTCTTTTTTATGAGCTGAGATGTCTTACCTCACGCCAACCTTCCCTCTTTATCGAGATTACTACCAGCTAAACGAGGTTTAGGAGTGCTTTGACAGAGGACCGACATCCACACCACGTCGGCGGTTGACGAACATTCTACCGCTGAACCTTCATTAACCTTTCAAAATAATGTAGTTTCCAGGAATAGAACTCAAGTTTTTTTCGTGATCGCTTTTACGACAATTACTGCAACAGTCGACCTATTTCGCCTTCTTGATATATAACTCTCTGAGATTTGTCAAAAATGCAAAGCGTTTGTGAAATCATTTTGTCCATTTCTATGATGAAGAATAATGCTTTACGCAGCAAGAAGTGGTGTGTGGTTTACTCTAAAATGATCTACTTTTCGATCAGAAGAGCCATTTGGAAGTTTGTACTGTAGAAATCAAGAGCATTTGGCAAAGCCATATTTGGCAGCAGATTTGTTAATTGGTAACTCAGTATACGGATATAGGCAAAAACGTCCAGCATATATTACAGTCACAATATGAACATATCTTCCATACTGTGTTTCTTTGTCTTCCTTTTATATTTCACAGACATGTTTCTTTTCTACTCTACGCCGTTAAATCTATTTCTCCGCTATTTGATATTCCTTCAGACGATATACATATTTTTGTGTTTATATACTACTTGTATGTCTTGTCAGTAGCGCACCCTTGATTTGTTGGTAAATGAACATCTGTCCGAAGGCACTAAGAAGATAGACAACTCCTCATGAACACCTTGTATTTAGTAACAAAAACTGGGTCATTTTCGAGATTATGATAACTGACAGAGATGCGAGCCAAAATTCAAAGCAATTGGATTTCTATTTGACATAGATATGGACAGTTACTCCATCAAGCGTTTTTCACTGACTAAGGAAAATGCCTGAAATTTAGTCTAATTTAGTCTAATCTCTACATTTGTGACTAGCAACGATGTTCAACAATATTCAGATGTGTACTCACTACAGGAAATTCAAATTATATTAATGCTAAATGATGCATCCATCCAAGTTATATGCAATTAGAGATGAAAGACTTTCAGTTAAAGACTTTCTAATTTAGTCCTAGTTGGTAGATTATTATCCTGGACAAAATAATTTATCTTGAGTAGTAGATAGGTTGAAAGAAGTAAAAATTATTCCTCATCAGTTGGACCTCAATGGTAGATGATAAATGAAGTGGCTAGTTGAATAGAAAGGCTTAATGCTGTAAATATCATGAGAAGTTTTACCCAGGTTAGATATCTCATCTCATATGAATTAAACATATCTGTCACAAACAGTAAGATATTTTCAAATCATTTTTGCATAAAGTAAACATGAGGAAACCGATAAGAAAAAGTGAGTCAAAATTTTTCGTTTAAAAAACCATGTAATCAGCAAAATGTGTATCTTGACACTTCGTGATGCATTTTTTGTGAATGAATGTGTAAAAACTGATATAGGAACAGCACAATGTGCACTGACACTTAAAAATAAGAGAAACCAAATCCGAATTCGAATAATTCAGAAAAATTGGCTTTAATGAATCTCAAAACTCACGAGAAAAACATAGTCATTGCATAGGCTAATAAGGCTATCTCAATATTAGTTATGAACAAGTTGGACCATATAACGAAAGTAAATGAACTCACTGAAGCTAGTCCAAAGCCTATGGATACAATAATGTATAAGATTAGGAATTTACAGCAGATCTACTACACCTAATGAAGACATTCCTGGGTGAATACAAATGGCTCAATTTAATGCCTAATACAAATGATGCCAGTAGAATATACATATTATTATGATATACAGACTAGGTCATCCTATCAGACCAGTCGTTGATTTCAGAAATAGAACTACTTACGAATTATCAAAAGCTTACTGCTAATATTGACTTCCACTAGAAAGAGTTTAAACTCTAACTAATTTATATGAAGTGAAAAAAAACTACATGAAAAATTGGTTTGTTTTCATATAACTACTCTTTTTACTGAGAAATCAAAGATTATGGTTTTGGAAGCAGTTACACAATAATTATTCACTCATCATCATTAGATAGAGCATCCGGTTGAGGAATTTATTCTGGGACTTCCACTGTGTCTCATGATTGTCTTCGAATTCCAATGAAAAATGCTAGGACAGACAGAAGGTGTAGCAACTGGATCACCAATATTCCCAATAATAGTGGATTTCTAAATGCATAGAAGGGAAAACATGACTTAAAAATTAAGAAACACCAAAAAGCATAAGTGAAAAATTTGTCAAAACAGAACATAACTTCAGGTATTCCACATATATTAAATCAAACGAAGAAGAATGTTGAACTAATTTGAGTCAGAAAGTGAACAAGCAGTTACCAAGGTAAATTAAACCAAATAAAATATTGGTGTGCAAATCGTTTGAGGTTGCAGCAGTATGCAATCTTTTTCAATCGTACATTTCTCAGCTTGAGCAGTTCTTGTTTTCCGTAACAGGTTTCTGTGTATGTTGATGAAACAGTAATTTGTCTTGATATTCGCTTGCATTTCAGCAAAGCTGTTGAACACAATGCAAAAGAGTAGGTTGATAGCTTTTAATTCATTGCTCCACTATCTATCTTTCATGCTTGTTTCAGTCTGAATGCATTGCGTGTGAAGAATACATTTGACTGTTCTCTGCAGGTCTGGAAACAGCTTCACGCTGAAATCCACATCGGCGTATACTCCAGTGAATCGTAGATCTTGTTGTTGATATCGTCCAAGAATATCAATATTGTCACGGGATGATGCACTATCAAATGTAACTGCTTATAGGATCATTCAAAGCTGCTGACTGTGATAACACCTCCTTAACGAACACTGTACTATCTATGTGCACAAATGTAAGAAACTGTAGACTTGTCCAGTTGAAATCCCATTTCAATGACTGAACATCACACTACAACTGAGTATTTGTGGTCAAAGATTTTCAGTATCTTCCTATGAATGGAGCGTGATTGTAGCGATAACTGTTCGCCATGATGATCTTAATAAAGACTGTTATGTCATCTTATTTCGTAGGCATGTTTTATTTTTCAAGAAGGCATCACTAGTTCAGTCGATTCACGGTTAGGAGAGCACTGTGTCGCTATCAATGTGAAAACTGGCTTGATTGCGTGGCTGAAAAACCGAGGAATAACTCTATGTAGTAAATCCGAAACGCCTAAGTGGTGAAATGAAACAATAAGAGTAAGAATCGGTTATCAATAACCATTACAAACTATTTATTGAGAAGTTCATGAAGCTCATACGAAAAGAGGAAAATGGTGTTGACAACATAAACGAAAATGAATTCAAAATATCTACAGATTTACAAAATGAGGAAGCAACATCTACAACCCTATGTAGTCTGCTAGATAAACAGAAAATTATCGAAGGATTGAAAACTACAGACTCACTCAGGTAAATGCTCTGTAGGCTGGAGGACTCTGCTGATTCAGTTTCACAAAATATTACCAATCTACAGCATTTCACGCAATGACAATGGGCCAAACCAGGAGATCGGGGATAGCGAGATTATCAGAAGATAAGCATTTAGTCAAATGTAGAATGATTGAACTGAAGAAGATGAGCAGAGTGGAGAAAATCTCGACAATCGCAATGCATCCACTGACATGAAGTCGCACAATAGATTGGACGAGAACTTCAGCCACGAAATGCAGTGTAGGTGAACGGAAGAAAAGTCTGATCACTAAATCTTTGTCAATCGAATCTGTATCCAACAAGTGCAGAAGGAATGACGCAACACCAATATCACAGATAAAGAAAATATCGTTGCCAATAAAATCAAAGAATACAAAAAATAGCGGAATAGCATGAACGAAATTTGAAAGTCATACGAATGCTCTGATATGAGGAATAAATTGTGCCTGAAAAATCATCACTAAAATAAGTGATTCTGTTTCACTGTGTGTTTGTTTTATTGAAATACAGTATTCTCTGATGGGAGGTGAGAGAGGTCAGCATCAGTGGCAAATTTATAAACACAGTACAATTAAAATGATCTGTTCAGCAATTAAGAAACTATTAACACTGCACTGCACATTTACAGCAAGCCATTCTCAACGCTTTCGAGCATCTCGTTTGAATGTAGTTCACTACAAGCACGTCTCTTCCTCCTCAGTCATTATCCTCATCACTTCACTTTTCTTCTTTCCCTACTCTAGAAACAGTGATCAATGCAAGTAAGTGTGCGATGTTAGCTTACGTGTGGTGAACTGATTTCCTGAATCATTCACTGATTCCAGCATATTTCGTAACACACCATTTCTCGTGAAATAATAATAATTTCGTGACTTCCATCGAAAATGCACAATCTCTGGAGTATTTCCTTTGAAGTTTCACAGAATTTCTGTGGATCACCGTCGTTGTCAAGTGAATGCGGAATTGTCCACTTCAAGCACCTCTCAATTTGTTAATAACTGTTGTTGACTAGTTGTGGTATTACAGCAACTTTCCTTTTCCACCATCTGTATTCCAGAGGAGGTGATAAATGTGAAATGAGAAAGTGAGTGGCTACTGTGATCTTATTCACACTGAATTAATGTCGTGAATGATTTATTAGTTGCAGACTGTTTGTTTTTGTATTAGATATTTGAGGACTTCTTTGGTGGAGAATAATATCAGAATGTGTGTGTGTGTGAAGCAGCAAAGTAGCACCTTGCTCACTGAATTCAGACAGAAACAAAGTCTACGATGAGGCTATCGACAACATCATTCAATGCGCGGATGATTATTTGTGGAATGTAGAGTGACTGAGAGTGAAAAACAAAACAGAGAAGTTGAAATGCTATGAGAAATCGTGGCCAAATTACCTCGAGCTATTTAGACATATTGTTCATCATTATCATGAATCCTTTGCATAATCTTCATTGGAAGTTTCGCTTTTATTCATGGTTGGGATTAGCGTGGGATTCAAATAGGGTAGGGGTTAAGTTTAAGGTAATAAGGAAATTTGAAACGAAGATCATAGAGACACATCCATTTGAATAACTGAACGATGTGACTATTATCATCAGGTTATATTAATCATAGAGTGAATCGCTCAATAAAATTACTTCATTGTATAATCGGTAGTCACATGAACTCTGTTGGTGGACTGGTTGGCATATCTAAAAGAACAGATTGGAATGCTATTTGTCTATGGCCACACTTATGAAAGACTCGAACCTGTATTTGTGGCATATCAGACATATACCCTATATCATTTATTTCTACTGTGTACATATGCATATCCAGTAAACATAATTTTGTATGCTGCACACGGCACATTCTACCCAGAAGTACACTGACTATCTGGTCCAAGGTCGTTTGTCTGTGCTATCTATTCTTTCCTGTCAACAAAATGGTATACAAGAAAAGTAGACTGTCTGGGGTAAATGCTCATTTGTTAATTCAGGAGCTTGAATATTACAGTTAGTCACATAATTCACACAGAACTAGAGCAAAGCACTTCAACGGAGCGAAAATGGCGGCCACTATCAATACCGTTAGGCGTCACAAGTGGTACAGTTCGCATCAGTACACAAAGTGACTTTGGTCGACTTGGCTTACTTAATAACGTTGCAGTGAGAAGCGGACATACTTCCAGTATTTCACCGCCAAATATATTCGACGGCCTATTGACCCTGATCCCATGTCGTAATCCAGCCCGATTTCATGGAATAATGATGTTCCCACTGCTGACTGACAGTCTGTTGTGTCAACAAAGCTGGTGAGCGTGGTTGATTCACTATGCAGACAGCATCGATGGGGCCAATTCACAAGGGAAAGTACACCAAACCACCTATTGGTGTGCAAATCGTTTGAGTTTGCAGCAGTACGCAATCTTCTTCAATCGTGCATTTCTCAGCTTGAGCAGTTCTTGTTTTCCGTAACAGGTTTCTGTGTATGTTGATGAAACAGTAATTTGTCTTGATATTCGCTTGCATTTCAGCAAAGCTGTTGAACACAATGCAAAAGAGTAGGTTGATAGCTTTTAATTCATTGCTCCACTATCTTTCATGCTTATTTCAGTCTGAATGCATTGCGTGTGAAGAGTACATTTGACTGTTCTCTGCATGTCTGGAAACAGCTTCACACTGAAATCCACATCGACGTATACTCCAGTGAATCGTAGATCTTGTTGTTGATATCGTCCAAGAATATCAATATTGTCACGGGATGATGCACTATCAAATGTAACTGCTTATAGGATCATTCAAAGCTGTTGACTGTGATAACACCTCCTTAACGAACTCTGTACTATCTATGTGCACAAATGTAAGAAACTGTAGACTTGTCCAGTTGAAATCCCATTTCAATGACTGAACATCACACTACAACTGAGTATTTGTGGTCAAAGATTTTCAGTATCTCCATATGAATGGAGCGTGATTGTAGCGATAACTGTTCGCCATGATGATCTTAATAAAGACTGTTATGTCATCTTATTTCGTAGGCATGTTTTATTTTTCAAGAAGGCACCACTAGTTCAGTCGATTCACGGTTAGGAGAGCACTGTGTCGCTATCAGTGTGAAAACCAGCTTGATTGCGTGGCTGAAAAACCGAAGAATAACTCTATGTAGCAAATCCGAAACGCCTAAGTGGTGAAATGAAACAATAAAAGTAAGAATCGTTTATCAATAACCGTTACAAACTATTTATTGAGAAGTTCATGAAGCTCATACGAAAAGAGGAAAATGGTGTTGACAACATAAACGAAAATGAATTCAAAATATCTACAGATTTACAAAATGAGGAAGCAAAATCTACAACCCTATGTAGAGTTCCAGATAAACAGAAAATTATCGAAGGATTGAAAACTACACACTCACTCAGGTAAATGCTCTGTAGGCTGGAGGACTCTGCTGATTCAGTTTCACAAAATATTACCAATCTACAGCACTTCACGCAATGACAATGGGCCAAACCAGGAGATCGGGGATAGCGAGATTATCAGAAGATAAGCATTTAGTCAAATGTAGAATGATTGAACAGAAGAAGATGAGCAGAGTGGAGAAAATCTCGACAATCGCAATGCATTCACTGACATGAAGTCGCACAATAGATTGGACGAGAACTTCAGCCACGAAATGCAGTGTAGGTGAACGGAAGAAAAGTCTGATCACTAAATCTTTGTCAATCGAATCTGTATCCAACAAGTGCAGAAGGAATGACGCAACACCAATATCACAGATAAAGAAAATATCGTTGCCAATAAAATCAATGAATACAAAAAATAGCGGAATAGCATGAACGAAATTTGAAAGTCATACGAATGCTCTGATATGAGGAATAAATTGTGCCTCAAAAATCATCACTAAAATAAGTGATTCTGTTCCACTGTGTGTTACTTTTATCGAAAAACAGTATTCACTGTTGGGAGGTGAGAGAGGTCAGCATCAGTGGCAAATTTATAAACACAGTACAACTAAAATTATCGGTTCAGCAATTAAGAATTTATTAACACTGCACTGCACATTTACAGCAAGCCATTCTCAACGCTTTCGAGCATCTCGTTTGAATGGAGTTAACTACAAGCACGTCTCTTCCTCCTCAGTCATTATCCTCATCACTTCACTTTTCTTCTTACCCTACTCTAGAAACAGTGATCAATGCAAGTAAGTGTGCGATGTTAGCTTACGTGTGGTGAACTGATTTCCTGAATCATTCACTGATTCCAGCATATTTCGTAACACACCATTTCTCGTGAAATAATAATAATTTCGTGACTTCCATCGAAAATGCACAATCTCTGGAGTATTTCCTTTGAAGTTTCACAGAATTTCTGTGGATCACCGTCGTTGTCAAGTGAATGCGGAATTGTCCACTTCAAGCACCTCTCAATTTGTTAATAACTGTTGTTGACTAGTTGTGGTATTACGGCAACTTTCCTTTTCCACCATCTGTATTCCAGAGGAGGTGATAAATGTGAGATGAGAAAGTGAGTGGCTACTGTGATCTTATTCACACTGAATTAATGTCGTGAATGATTTATTAGTTGCAGACTGTTTGTTTTTGTATTAGATATTTGAAGACTTCTTTGGTGGAGAATAATATGAGCATGTGTGTTTGTGTGTGTAGGAGCAAAGAAGCACGCTGCTCACTGAATTCAGGCAGAAACAAAGTCTGCGATGAGGCTATCGACAACAGCTTTCAATTCGCTGATGATTATTTGTGGAGTGGAGTGTGATTGAGAGTGAAAAAACAAACCAGAGCCGTTGAAATACTCTAAGAAATGGTGGTCAAATTTCCTCGAACTATTTAGTCATATTGTTCAGCATTATCATGAATCCTTTCCATAATCGTCATTGGAAGTCTCGCTTTTATTCATGGTTGGGATTAGCGTGAGATTCAAATGCGGTAAAAGTTAAAGGTAATGTAATTCGGAAAATTGAGACGAAGATAAGAGAGAACGTCCATTTGAATAACTGAACGATGTGACTATTATCATCAGGTTATATAATTCAGAGAGGGAATCGCTCAATATAATTAGTGAATTCTATAATCGGCAGTCACATGAACTCTGTTGGTGGATTTGTTGGCATATCTAAAAGAACAGATTGGAATGCTATTTGTCTATGGCCACACGTATAAAAGACTCGAACCTGTATTTGTGGCATATCAGACATATACCCTATATCATTTATTCCTACTTTGTACATATGTATATCCAGTAAACATAATTTTGTAAGCTGCACACGGCACATTCTACCCAGAAGTACACTGACTATCTGGTCCAAGGTCGTTTGTCTGTGCTATCTATTCTTTCCTGTCCCCATAATGGCTTACAAGACAAGTAGACTGTCTGGGGTAAATGCTCATTTGTTAATTCAGGAGCTTGAATATTACAGTTAGTCACATAATTCATACAGAACTAGAGCAAAGCACTTCGACGGAATAAAAATGGCGGTCACTATCACTGCCGTTAGGCGTCAGAAGTGGTACAGTTCGCATCAGTACACAAAGTAATTTTGGTCGACTTGGCCTACTTAATAACGTTACAGTGAGAAGCGGACATACTTCCAGTAATTCACCGCCAAATATATATGACAGCCTATTGACCCTGATCCCATGTCGTAATCCGGCCCGATATCATGGAATAATGATGTTCCCACTGCTGACTGATAGTCTGTTTTGTCAACAAAGCTGGTGAGCGTGGTCGATTCACTATGCAGACAGCATCGATGGGGCCAATCCACAAGGGAAACTACACCAAATCACCTATTGGTGTGCAAATCGTTTGAGTTTGCAGCAGTATGCAATCTTTTTCAATCGTACATTTCTCAGCTTGAGCAGTTCTTGTTTTCCGTAACAGGTTTCTGTGTATGTTGATGAAACAGTAATTTGTCTTGGTATTCGCTTGCATTTCAGCAAAGCTGTTGAACACAATGCAAAAGAGTAGGTTGATAGCTTTTTATTCATTGCTCCACTATCTATCTTTCATGATTGTTTCAGTCTGAATGCATTGCGTGTGAAGAATACATTTGACTGTTCTCTGCATGTCTGGAAACAGCTTCACGCTGAAATCCACATCGGCGTATACTCCAGTGAATCGTGGAGTGCACAAATGTACGAAACAGTAAACCTGTCCAGTTGAAATTCCATTTGAATGACTGAATATCACACTACAACTGAGTATTTGTGGTCAACGATTTTCAGTATCTTCCTATGAATGGTGCGTGATTGTAGCGATAACTGTTCGCCATGATGATCTTAATAAAGACTGTTTTGTCATCTTATATCGTAGGCATGTTTTAATTTTCAAGAAGGCATCACTAGTTCAGTCAATTCACGGTTAGGAGAGCAGTGTGTCGCTATGAATTTGAAGGCTGGCTCGATTGCGTAACTGAAAACCGAGCAATAACTCTTAGATGTACACCTAAAACACCTGAGTGGTGAAAAGAAACAGTAAGAGTATGAATTGGTGATCAATAACCATTACATACTATTTACTGAGAAGTTGATTAAGCTCATAAGAAAAGCGGAAAATGGTGGCGATAACATAAACGAAAATGAATTCAAAATATCTACAGATTTACAAAATGAGGAAGCAAAATCTACAACCCTATGTAGTCTGCTAGATAAACCAAAAATTATCGAAGGATTGAAAACTACAGACTCACTCAGGTAAATGCTCTGTAGGTTGGAGGGCTCTGCTGATTCAGTTTCACAAAATATTATCAATCTACAGCATTTCACACAATGGCAATGGGCCAAACCAGGAGATCGGGGATAGCGAGATTATCAGAAGATAAGCATTTAGTCAAATGTAGAATGATTGAACTGAATAAGATGAGCAGACTGGAGAAAATCTCGACAATCGCAATGCACCCACTGACATGAAGTCGCACAATAGATTGGACGAGAACTTCAGCCATGAAATGCAGTGTAGGTGAACGGAAGAAAAGTCTGATCACTGAATCTTTGTCAATCGAATCTGTATCCAACAAGTGCAGAAGGAATGACGCAACACCAATATCACAGATAAAGAAAATATCGTTGCCAATAAAATCAAAGAATACAAAAAATAGTGGAATAGCATGAACAAAATTTGAAAGTCATATGAATGCTCTGATATGAGGAATAAATTGTGCCTGAAACATCATCACTAAAATAAGTGATTCTGTTTCACTGTGTGTTTGTTTTATTGAAATACAGTATTCTCTGATGGGAGGTGAGAGAGGTCAGCATCAGTGGCAAATTTATAAACACAGTACAATTAAAATTATCTGTTCAGCAATTAAGAAATTATTAACACGGCAATGCACATTTACAGCAAGCCATTCTCAACGCTTTCGAGCATCTCGTTTGAATGTAGTTCACTACAAGCACGTCTCTTTCTCCTCAGTCATTATCCTCATCACTTCACTTTTCTTCTTTCCATACTCTAGAAATAGTGATCAATGCAAGTAAGTGTGCGATGTTAGCTTACGTGTGGTGAACTGATTTCCTGAATCATTCACTGATTCCAGCATATTTCGTAACACACCATTTCTCGTGATATAATAATTTCGTGACTTCCATCGAAAATGCACAATCTCGGGAGTATTTCCTTTGAAGTTTCACAGAATTTCTGTGAATCACCGTCATTGTTAAGTGAATGCGAGATTGTCCACCTCAAGCACCTCTCAATTTGTTAATAACTGTTGTTGACTAGTTGTGGTATTACAGCAACTTTCCTTTTCCACCATCTGTATTCCAGAGGAGGTGATAAATGTGAAATGAGAAAGTGAGTGCCTACTGTGAGCTTATTCACACTGAATTAATGTCCTGAATGATTGATTAGTTGCAGACTGTTTGTTTTTGTATTGGATATTTGAGGACTTCTTTGGTGGAGAATAATATCAGAATGTGTGTGTGTAGCAGCAAAGTAGCACCTTGGTTACTGAATTCAGACAGAAACAAAGTCTACGATGAGGCTATCGACAACAGCTTTCAATTCGCTGATGATTATTTATGGAGTGTAGAGTGTCTGAGAGTGGAAAACAAACAAGAGGCGTTGAAATACTCTAAGAAATGGTGTCAAAAGTAAAGAATTTGTACCACAGCCAAATTGCCTTGAAATGCCTAGGCATATTGCTCAGCATTATCATGAATCCTTTCCATAATCTTCATTGGAAGTCTCGCTTTCATTCATGGTTCGGATTAGCGTGGGATTCAAATAGGGTAACAGTTAAGGTTAAGGTAATTAGGAAATTTGAAACGAAGGTAATAGAGAGCATCTATTTGAATCACTGAGCGATGTGACTATTATCATCAGGTTATATTAATCATAGAGTGAATCGCTCAATAAAATTAGTGCATTGTATAATCGGTAGTCACACGAACTCTGTTGGTGGACTGGTTGGCATATCTAAAAGAACAGATTGGAATGCTATTTGTCTATGGCCACACTTATGAAAGACTCGAACCTGTATTTGTGGCATATCAGACATATACCACATATCATTTATTTCTACTGTGTACATATGTTTATCCAGTGAACATAATTTTGTAAGCTGCAAATGGCACATTCTACCCAGAAGTACACTGACTATCTGGTCCGAGGTCGTTTGTCTGTGGTATCTATTCTTTGCTGTCACCAAAATGGTTTACAAGACAAGTAGATTGCCTGGGGTAAATGCTCATTTGGTAATTCATGAGCTTGGATATTACAGTTAGTCACATAATTCACACAGAACTAGAGCAAAGCACTTCGACGGAGCAAAAGTAACAATCCCTTTGACTACCGTTACGCTTCAGAAGTGGTACAGTTCGCATCAGTAAACAAAGTGACTTTGGTCGACTTGGCTTACTTAATAACGTTGCAGTGAGAAGCGGACATACTTCCAGTATTTCACCGCCAAATATATTCGACGGCCTATTGACCCTGATCCCATGTCGTAATCCAGCCCGATATCACGGAATAATGATGTTCCCACTGCTGACTGACAGTCTGTTGTGTCAGCTAAGCTGGTGAGCGTGGTTGATTCACTATGCAGACAGCATCGATGGTGCCAATTCACAAGGGAAACTACACCAAATCACCTATTGGTGTGCAAATCGTTTGAGGTTGCAGCAGTATGCAATCGTTTTCAATCGTACATTTCTCAGCTTGAGCAGTTCTTGTTTTCCGTAACAGGTTTCTGTGTATGTTGATGAAACAGTAATTTGTCTTGATATTCACTTGCATTTCAGCAAAGCTGTTGAACACAATGCAAAAGAGTAGGTTGATAGCTTTTAATTCATTGCTGTACCAACTTATTTTATACTTTTTGTGCAGGGACAGGGCATCTTTTTTGCATTTGACGTATTGTTTTCTATTCAGCATGTCCCTGTGTTTGTGCAGGATGTTTTTTCTGGTTTATGTAGTCTATTTTAGAGTCAGTGAGAATATTTTTATGATTTGGACGAGTTTTCTTTTTTATGTATTTTGTTACCTTTTTGAGGTTTATCGTTATGCTGTTGAATAGTAATTTGTTCCATTTCTAGCACCAAAAATGAAAGTGTTTTAAAATCGTAAGTTCCTGCGTTTGAATGAAACACCCAGCTGTCGTTATCCGTGTAATAATTAACTTTTTCTAATTCCACTCGAATTTATAGAAATACAGTTATTTTAGAGGTGATAGGTTTTTGGTCTTCGAGTTGAATAATTTTATTTTCAAGGTTTGATTGTCTTTCTAGACAACAGCTCCAGGTCTGACGTCCATATAAATACATGATTTAAACTGTTCCATGAGCTTAAAATTCTTCTCTCCTGATGGCGCTGAACGTGTTTGGTTATTGTGGCAGATTTGTATGTACTTAATGTAGCCAAAACATACTGCAACGCTACGGCTTTTAAGACGATATAAGATAATTAGCTTACGACACTTATAGAGAAAAATGGAAACTGATTTAAATTCATTAGAAGATGTCTACCGTCAGTACAACCAAACAACTCAGAATTATCCACTGACAGATTAAAGCAGAAGAAGAAATTCCCACAATCCTACTGGAACCTTATGAAATATTTGTTGCCTACAAATCAAAAAATCAACTGAACGTCAGCACCCTTTGTCTTCCCTCTATATGAATACATCACCTTGTTGGTTTTCACCTGAAAATCTTCGAGTTTGTGCGACATTAAACATAAGTCATCTGCGAAATCCAGATCATCTGGAGTCTTCTTATCGGGTCAACGCATCAATATCTTTCCATTCCCTGTGCACAGTCTTCCGTATAATCCAGTCCAACACAATTAGGAATACTACCTGTGATAGCAGGCAGCCTTGTCCTACTGTATACTGTCTCTACTTTAAAGGCTTCACTGAACTTTCCATTTTGGATCGACTGACAGGTAGCATTGGTGTGTAGCTCTTGAATGAAGTTGATATAGATTTTGAGCACGGTCCTGAGAAGTGCTGAAGTAGTCTGTAAATTATTCCATACTAGTTTGTTTTTCAGATTTATCACACAGTGAAACAGTATTATTTACTGGATGACGTCTCCAACAAAATTTATTGTTCATAATCATATCATCAATTGTGATCACACGACTTTGACACTTGAGTTTTATAGTTCGGACTTCCGATCATCACATCCTATGTCAGTAAAAATAGGATTGGTGAAATGTTTAAATGACAGAGCACAAAAATTAAGTAGTACCAAAGAAAATCTAAAACAGGAACTGATACACATAAATGAAGCCTTGAAACTTAATAATTACCCGGATAAATTAGTCAGGAAATATGTAAGGAAGTTTAAAAATAAAATAAATAATGATAGTAGTGATAGTGATAATAACAACAATAATGATAATGACAATAGTGATAATAGTAATAATATTAATGACGAAACCAACAATAAAGAATCTAAATCATCAGTAGTAATTCTATACAAGGAAGGAACCTCGGAAGCCTTACGCAGAATTCTTAACAAGGCAGGAATAAAAATGGAATTCAAACCCACAAACTCAATTAGAAACAAGCTTTGTCGGTTAAAGGATCCTGTAGAGACCTTAAAACAAAACAATTTAGTTTATCTAATACCCTGCCTGCGATGATTGTCAGGTCAAATACATAGGTCAAACTAGTAGAACAGGGGCAGTCAGACCAGCTGAACATAAAAACTTAGCAAAATCTAGATTGGTTGATCCAAATAAGATAAAAAATCCAGAGAATAGTTCAGCTATAGTACTACATGCAGTCACACACAACCACACAATAGGATGGGATAGGATGACAGTTTTAAAATCTAATGTCACAGGGTATACGGAGAGATTGATAACAGAAGCTTTGTTTATCGAATCAACTGCAAATACATGTAATAGGAATGATTCATCACCTGTCTCAGATATCTGAAAAATTCTACTACCCATACGACAAATAGGAGAAAACAAAGAATGCTATAAAACTCAAGTGTCAAAGTCGTGTGATTACAATTGACGATATGATTACGAACAACAAATTTTGTTCGAAACGTCATCCAGTAAATGATACTGTTTCACTGTGTAATGTGTCTAATAAACAAACTAATATGGAATTACTTACTACCAAAGGGCCCAAGTTTCACTCATATATTAGTTTCTAAATTACTTCTCCGTTAACGCTGTCAAAGACCTTTTCAAAATCAATGAAGTTAAGGTACAGGTTTGACTGCCATTCTATGCTTTGTTGGATTACGATACTTAGATTTGCAATTTGATCAGCATATAATTTGCCTTCTTCAGTTCAGTTTGCTCTTGGAGCCGGAGTTATGCATCGACTACATCTTTAGTTCTCTCCGGGATGATACGACTTAGTATTTTACTTGTCATAGACAAAAAAATTACTCCCCGCCAGTTCTTGAAGAGTGAGGCGTAGGTTGTTTTTGACAAGGTATCTAGCCTTTTTTCCAATCGGTAGGCACCTTTCCTTCTTTCCAAACCTTTTGTTATTATGGCATGAGAACATTCACCATAGTCTCTGGGTCCGTTTCTTGTGCTTCAGCGAGAGGATGGATACCATCTGATCCTGCCGCCTTCCCGAACTTCAGTAGCTTGATCAAATTTATGATTTCTGCTTGGCTGGAGGGTTGATGTCCACTGGAATTTCTGTGAGTCTTGTTGGTGGTATTTCTGGGCGAGGTGCAGCTGCTTTCCAGTTGAAGAGTCCCTTGAAGTGATCAACCCATTATTCGGTTTGTTTCTCCTAGTTGGCAACCAGGTTAACTTGAACAACTTTTATAAATTTCCTTTGTGTTGATCTCTTCTCGGAAAGCGAGCAGCCTGGTTATCTGATATAATGTCCTGAGGTCTCCTTTACCTGCGACCTGTTCTGCTTCAGTTGCCGTCTTGTGTTCTGTAGAATTGCCTTTTTTTCGTAGCACTCTTCATCTCTTCATTCAGTACGTCATACAGTTAAGTCAGTTTCTCCTTCACCGTCATCCTCCCTTCTATTGGCTTCTGGATGGTGACGATGGGGAGCGCTTCCTTGCCTTTCCTCTTCTTTCTTCCTTCCTTTCCTTGAACACCACCTTCGGAGAGTTTCAGTGTTCTTCCACTAAGGTTTCTTCAGTGATGCGATATAGTGTCTCCGAATTCGTTCAGATTGTTGCAGTGAAGTGTCTTTTGTAGCCTTGCTTCTGATTTTCTAACTGTTGAACATGAATTGTGATCTGTCTGTAGTTGCTTTGAACGTTTTCATTTGATCTTGAAGATTCCCTGAAATAGATGGTGGTCTGAGCCCATATCTGCTCCCTTTCTCGACTTTAAGTCCAGCAGACTACGTCTCTGGTACCTTTAGGAATACTTAGATGAAGTTCATTTGTTTTTTTTTGGTGAATCCGTCACGTGAAATTCATATCACCTTGAGTATATCCTTTTACTTTTAAAAGTTTGTCAAACTTTTTACTGTATCAGTTGCACATCCTCTAACAGCTTCATTGCGCGTTTTACCCATGATTCCTAATCGAGATGTAAAATGCGTTACTCCTGCCAGTTACGTAGCTTTTCGCCTCACTTTGTATTATATCAGAAGTTTGCTATAAGGCGAATTGAACAACTGCTTATTCAAATGCACCCGGTTATAATGAAGTTAAATAGTGTTGAGTTTTGTACTAACATGCTGTGCGATATACACCTGAGCAATAATTATTTAAAAGACACACAAAATTTTGTTACATTAATCTGTAAAGTTTTCTTGTTAATTATCCCCCTGAATACCTCAGATGTAGCTTTCATTCTGTCGAAATTTAAACATAACTATGTCAAGTTTATTATATTTTTGACAATGATTTCACATTGTTTTCCATTGTAAATCATTTCTCTAAGGATGTAAGTCAATTTCCTTATAAACAATGATGTTTATTATTGTGAATAATAATTTCGTAGGTTTATCTGTAGTTTCATGATTTGATGAATAAATTCCGTCAATTACAAATTCCATTTATTTGAAATTTATTATTTGATCTAATAGAAGTCATACTATTATTGCATGAATGTATAAAATCTGTCTTAAAAGTCCATATCTGGCGTAAGTTTGTTATGTTCATGAAGGTTTTACGATTGGATCGCAAAGCACATTTGTCATCACTTTGCTTCATTACAATTTGTAAAAGCTATATTGATGCTCCCAATCGCCATCATTGGGAGAGATTTAACAGGGGTCACCTCCTCCATATATCCTGCTAGGAAGCGTAGTTATAACTACAGGCACACGGCACGGATGTAGGTGACAATGACAGCCAGAATCGGAAAGGCAAGATACGCCTTCATCAACCGGAAACCAATTTGTGAATCTTCTGCACTCAACATAAGGAACAAGACTCGGATTTTCAACACTAATGTCTAGTCGGTCGGTCCCTCTATACGGGTCAGAAACTTGACCAGCATGTCACGAAAAGGATTCCAACAGGTCATTGCAGATTTTGTCAAAAGCTACCTTTGCTGGGCCCATACTAAATATCAAACGGCCAGAAAGAATTAGTTACAAGAAACTCTGGCTGGAAACAAACCAACTGGCGACAGCCGATCGCTCAAAAAGTATGTAGGAGAAAGTGGAGATGGATCGGGCATACATTGAGGAGGCAGCCGAATGACATCGCGACTAATGTAGGCCATCGCTCGAGTGGAATCCCAATGGGAAGCGACTAGTGGGTCGTCCTAGGGTGACATGGAGGAGATCGTGTGAGGAAGAGACAAGAGGTTATGGGCATTTGTGGGCCCAGCTGGAGAGGACGGCGGAAAATGGAACGAAGTGAAGATGTGTTGTTGAAGCCCCATGTTCCACTCGGAACCCAAGGGATTAATAATAATAAATAATATTGATGCTCAGCAACAACATCCAAATATTTTAGTATGTTAGAATAGCCTTTTTAAAACTTCCACTGTTCACTAATACACAGTATAAAGGTATGTGATTGTATGCGTTGGTAAAACAAACTTAAGCATACAAAATCACTTGGAAAATACTCCCCTTAGAAAGTCTTGGAGCAAAACGATATCCTTGTTGCCGTAAACGAATTTGTTTAACTCTTATTATGAATCCGATCAGTCGGTAGACCCTCAAATGATGTTAAGGCATTTCAGTACTAGATGAAAAATATTATTTGTGATGTTTAATTCAAATTATTTCAAACACCGTCAATCAGTATTCGTAATTAATGCTGTAAAATTCAAAAGCACCGTAAGTATTACTGTAGTCATATGGAATATACGAAAAGTGTAATTCCGTTAGGGAGAATATTTATTGTCATGAAGTCTCATAGTTTTCTGCTACAGAAAAAGAAATTTACTGATGACCTTTTGACCACAAGTTATTGCTCATAATCATATCAAGGTACTCATACAACTTCCTGACTTCATTTATATACATGAGTAAAACGTTCATTAGATAGATGAATCAGTATAACGCTTGAAACAAAAAGAATGATAAAGTACATTTGGAAATACTATTAGTGTAGTCAATATGATATAATACAATGGTAAATTAGACGAGTGTTGTTAGTCAGTTAGATGTTTTGTCAGTAAAATTAAATAAAAAAAAACTAGTTAAAGTGTGATAAAGTGGACTGAAATATAACAAATTTTAACACTGTTTCTTATCCTTTGATTTTGTTAATAGTAATTTCTTCTATATCTCTGTTATTTGTGCTGAGTCACTTCTACTGCATGTGTTGGGTGTAGACTCGATGAACCAGGCAGGATTTAGCAATCAGTCTCTCTCTTCAGCTACCTATATTAATTTTTAGAATTTTAACCCCCAACCACCCTACTGTGTGGTTGTGCTAATGCATACAGTGCGATTGCTGAGTTTTCTTCTAAATTACTTATCTTCGTGTGATCGATGATTCTAAGCTTAGCTAAATACTTATTTTCTGACAATCTCACCACTCCTGATCTACTAGTTTGACCTATGTGGTTGACCTAACTCACAGTCATTGCAAGGTGTTTTATAGATTATATTACTTCGTCTAATTGGGTCCTACAGAGTTTATCCCTGAGTGGGTTTGTAGATTTGAACGCCACCCTAATTCCTGCTTTATTAAGAATTCTACGTAGGGTCTCTGATGTACCCTTCTACCATTTGATTATTGCCATTCTGTATTGAAGTTTTTGAGCTGTCTTTAAAATAATTGTCACTAATTTCTATATTATTATTAGCTGATAAAATCTACCATGGTTTTATCGAGGCTTGTAAAAGAATCAGCTGTGAAGAAGTTAAAGGATACCAGTGAAGAAATTGAGCAAGATGATCATACATTTATTTATTTCTCACTAAAAGCGGCCTGTTTAAGCCGCTAGGCTAACTGAATTTTATATCCACGTAAATGCATCACGTTTACTCCATTCCAGACTGTTTTAACTATACAATTATACCTAAGAATCGCAATCCATACTCAGGCATATTTTCAAATAGGTGTCAATCTATTGCAATGGAGATTCCGAAAGAAATTGAGCAGGAACATTGTGGATAATTGGAGCATACCTCAGATAAAACAATATGGCTTCAGTTGATATATTAAAATGTGTTATATTACTTGATGGTTGTGCAGAAGTAGTAAATGCCTTGCAAGAAGAAAGTTTATGAAAATTCTGTATAAACGCATTTTTCAGAATTAATTCGCTGTTAGTATTAAGATTAAAAATGAATTCCGGTTAGACCTTTTGAGGAGATTATCTGAGTTTTATATTTGCTAATCATTCACTTGATAGTTGATGGGATCTGTAATGTGTACACGGGCTTGGATTAATTTATATTTGTTTTGAATGTAAACCTTGTAACTACTTATGACTAAATGTGCTGGACAAATGAGTAAAAGACCAAAATTGTTACGTCATATATTTTTCAGTTATGACATTTATCATTATTATGTTTCCCTTACGTTTTCAGTGGAACTTAGGGATTCAGCAGCACATTTCAGTTTTACTCTCCTCTATGCGGCCCTCTTCAGCTGGCTGCACGACTGCCCATAATCTGTCATCTTGTCCTCATACAATCTCCTCAGTATTACCCTCAGATATACGCCCAACTGGTCGTTTCTTATTCAGGTCCCACCTTAGTGATGGCCTGTCACGTGATGCCACTCAGTGGTTTCCTCAACGTATTTCAGATCTATCTCCACTTTCATCCACATGTTAGTTGAGTAATATGGTTCATGATTGGTTCGTTTCGAGAGTTCGCTGTTGCTAATCTTTTCTTGACAGGCAATCTTCACAAGGTGGAGAAGACGGCTGTTATTAAAACTATGAAGCTTATTCAAAATACGCCAAGTGTTTGTACCATGTAGAAGCACTGACTTGATATTAGTGTTAGAGATCCTGATCTTGTTTTTTCTGCCAAGTAAAAAAGATTTTCACGCTGATTCCAGACTGATGAGGGTTTGGCTTGATTTTCCGATTTTGTCCGGTTTTGTAGTCTTCATCCGTGCCTCCGGCCATAGTTTAAAGGATGCTTCCTTGATAAGCGAATGAGGTGATTTCAAATTTCTCCTGTTGATAGTGACCGGTGCTTGTTGTTGTTGTTGTTGGTTAGGCACCTTCATCACTTCTATCTCATTTATGTCCACTCGAAATCCTGTCTTCGCGACCTGTTAACTGAGAAGTAGTGAAGGTTTCCTAGCCTTATTCTGATATTTCTGAAGATTGACCACGTAAATAAATCATCTGATTTGTAACTTTTCTTTGAACTAATCCAATAACTATTAATAATGGCACATAAATTTTCTTCCGATATTTGAGGTATAAGTAATACTACGATTATACTACCTGTAAAATATACTTTTACTGAGCATTGTAGAACTCGTAATGAAATTTACCTTGAAACAAAAATAACGCTCAGTAAAAAGACTGAATAACCCTGTAGCAAATTATAGTCTTTTATACAATACAAAACAAGAACACCTGTTTGTTCTTTGATAACTTCAGTTTGAGAATATCCAGCACAGAATGTGTAGGATAGACAATAAACTTCCAACTTACACATAATCTTTTTTCACAAGTTCACAGATGTCACATCTTATCCCTCAAGTGCTTAACGTACACAGTACACTTCATTTTCAAATCCTTTGATCACTTCTGTAAAAGACTCAGTTTTGTGTGATACATGAATACATTTCAACGAACTTCAAATATTTCCATTCAAAGATGAATTTACATTTCACTTGTTTGACTTCCTACTTCTTTGATGTATGGCAACAGTAATCAATGTTAATATAATTATCAACAGTTTCTTCTTGTTTCTTCTTGTCAAATCAGACTGATTAACTTGATGTAAAATAACATATCTGTGGTGAAACTTATAGTCTAAACATTGTTTAGGTAACATCTGAAAGATTTACAACTTCAGCATTATGATAAATAATTTGAGTACTTAATTCTTCATTAATTTTATGCCGTAAACTATAGTCACTGCTTAATTTAACCAAAAACCTATGCTATTTAATTTCATATTAAAGTTTTCTATTCGATAAACCACTGTAAGCTGAACTTGATTTTGCTGATAATATATTAAATTTTCATTGTTATTAAAGACGAATTTAGTGAGTATAGCGTAGTTCCTGTGAAAGTTCATTTGTCCCCAAACGATGTTGAGAATGCTATGACATTTCTAAAAATTAAATTTCTCAAAAATCTCAGCGAAAGTGGAATGCGTAATTCAAAATTTTTTCTTTGGGTGAACTAGAGCGAACTTCTTCAGGGTATATTTAAAAAAAACATTTATTGTCTTTTAAAACTTTGACCAATCAGTCATATGAGTAATGAAACAGGCACCAAAATATAAGAAACAAAATTGCATGAACTGTGATCAAAGTTTGATCTCAGACTTACAAATATTAGTCTACATTCGCTAATTTCCCTGAAGAAATTCGGAGCAGTTTGTCTACTTCTCACTTGGAGCCTGATTATTTTTGAACTATCCAGTCAAATTTTGATCATAGTTCCTATGAATTATTTTGACCTTCAATATGTCCTTTTAAGTGGACCTAAGTTTGTTTTCTCACTTCTTAACGCCTTATTAATTTCATATGACAAGTCCGTGTGTGACCATATTGTTCGAAATGTGTTGCGCGAATACATTGCACGATTCAGATAAATTAAGTCTCCTAATAATAATTTCTTGTGAAAGAATCATCCTACTGAGTGGAATAAAGTAGTACCACTAAAAAACAGAACAATTCCAGAAGTTGGTGTGAACACGGGTAATAATTTTGCTCGAAATATCACTAATAACAAAACTTATCATTGTGTGTAAACCATTGAAATATAATTATATTCTATTTCATCGATTCCACAATGCTCAAACATTTTACTGATATTAAATTAACACACTTTGAGATAGAAAAATACACTTTACCAGTATAAAACATTCAATACTACACTGCAATATTTCATTCAATATATGAAAGATTAGTAAATGAAAATTACATTTTGCGCATTGTATAGAGTACCATTGTGGATAACTAGGTAAGTTTTATACCTGGGTATATAGAGTTTGGAATAAATAGTTTAGCAGATAGGTCAATTTACATAATTTAACTCCATAATCGTACGGTTTTGCATACAATACTAGTTGACAACAGAGGTCAGAGGTTATTGTCATTCAGTAGCAAAATAAATCAACCACGTGTAAGCACAATAACAATGTTTCAAGAGTGCGAATAATCTCGTATAATATAGAGTGGTGACAAGTAGTTAATTGAGTCGGTGGCACAGCGCTCGCCGACCGTGCTCATGGCCCCGGGTTGGACTCCCGGCCGATGCACACTTGATATCAATGGTCGGTCTGCTACATTTTGGCTACCTATATCACATGTTGAAAATTCCATGCTTGTACCAAAATACTCTGCGGAGTCAAACTATAATGAAATGAATAAATAAGTAAAAATGACCATTTGGAGATAATCGTTAGCAAACAAGAGAACAAAAGTATTGAAAATGTGTTATAAATAGGAAAAAAACTAATAATAACTACATGGAGTTAATTACACCCGAATCCAAGAAAGCAAAAAATCAACACTAAGGCCACGTTATTAAAAGAAACTGGATAAAACGTTTTTGAACACAAAATTTAGGTTTTCTTTTATGGATTACTAAGGCTTCGATTGAACGAAGAAGATATAATTGAAATCCTTCTACACGACCTCATCGTTCTTCATATGCAACTCTGAATGAAGTCACTGTTGATATTGCCTGGCTAGAAGTAATGGTGTGCTCTAAAATTGAGCTGTTGACTGCTTTGCCTTCTCCTCTTGGCGACCACACTGGTTAGTGTTTATGCGTGCATCTAGACATTTGTAATTTGGGATTAATATGTGCTGAAATCACTTCCAATTAAACTGAAATGATTAGGCGCATATCAAGAATTACACTAATTGACTCTAATAATTTATTAGGATTTGTAACAGGGAAAAGAATAGTCAAATCTCCCAGTAATAATGAAACTTTTAGACATACTATTGGATTAGAAGACTACAACTGGTGTAATCGATAACGACTAGAGGTGAACTGAAAATCTGCCTAGAGGACTACTAGTTCAACGACCCAGTAGCCAAGCCATGGGAACCACATATGGTGGGAAGGTTATTTCACAGTTCAGGATTAACCAAACTACCCATGTATGATTATTTGTAGTATAGTTTTTCACCACACAGTCCGTAATCAATATTCATTTTTTGCCAGGAGATTAAATACATAGGCAGCTTGGACGTCATTATTTTATGCTTTTGATATACAACGTGAAATTTAACAAAAGTGTCTGTTTCAAATGAATACAATTTTTTGAGTAAATTTTCAGTTGTTTCGATGTGTGATAATTAAATTTAATCAGCCCAATATATTTCATTTGCGAGTAAGTTAAATACTATACTTCTGTGGTTTACACATAGCTTATATAACTATCTATAAAAATTCTTAGTGAAACAAACTGTGGGAGGCGAGAAGACAGGCGTACGCTGGTTGTTATGAAGGCTTTAGAAGATTTCTACTTCGTGGACAATTTACGCTGAATGTTACGAAGATCTACAGATGGAAAACCAAAAGGTTGGTAGAAGAAGCAGCGAAGACAGTACTTCAAATAAACACAGATAAGACAGAGATGATGAAGATGACCAAACACCAACAATGACAATGACCAATCAGCATCAACGAGAGAAATCTACAGAAAGTCACTTCTTTCAATTACCAAAACAGCACTGTTTCAACTAGAGGCAGCACGGATGAAAATGTCAAAGTCAATCATGATCGGAAAACAAGGCAAACCTCATTATGCTGCAGTCGCTGTGGAAATCTGCTCCACTCAGCATAAGATCTTCAACACTAATATTTAGTCAATTCTTCTGGTTCAGAAACTTCACTTGTCATGGAAAGCATTTCAAACAGGCCGCTGAAGACTTTTATCAATAGATATCTTTGCCACCTCAATATTGAAGATCGGATAGCCGGCAAAGATCAAAAATATGGGGCCCAGGCAACAAACTAAGCATGAACCCATAGCCCAGCAAATATGATGAAAAATTGAAGATGGGTAGGGCATACTCTGAGAAGACAGTTGAATAACGTCGCGTGCCAGTCCCTCGAGTTGGAGTTGGTCGTGCGTCCGAAGATGACGTGGAGGAGAATGTGTGAGAAGGAGATGACAGCTTGTGGGCAATAATGAACCCAGTCATAGAGGGCTGCAGAGAACACAATGAAATGGGTCAGGGTGTGCTGTTTGAAGCCGTGTGTTCCATTCACAAGCTAAGAGAATAATATTATCAACTTTTAGATGTTTTAACACTCCAAGTAGTTCATTTGAGTTACATAGTCATTATTTTCAAGAGCAGTAGAACACATACAATCGACTATAGACAATACTACGAGATAAGGTAATCGTTAAAATATATGCAACAATTGTAAAAGGTAGATTATCACCTATTTATTAGAATTTTCTGTTGTTGTGTTCTTCCACTTAAATGATTTATTTAACTCTGAAGCTTTCATTGTCCTTTAAAACAATGCGTGCAGTACTGACAGCGTCCACCTCAGCTGAAAATCTCCTACATCATCTCGAATGTTTCTTAATTGTCTTAACAGTTAGAAATACATCTTAAATTGATTTTAGTGCTCAACACAATCACCAACACTGTCGTCTTAAGATTTAATATAAAACAGCTTCATACAAGCAAGGGAAACATGTAAGGTAGCCTATACCGCACTAGTAAGTATGAGATGATGTTACGAATAGTCAGTCCTTTTTTATTACGATCACTTTTAATTGGAATAATTATATCAGGCGGACATTGTTACTCAAGCAAAAAGAAGAATCCATCACAATCACTGGATGAATCCTGCTTTTAACTTAACAGAGAATTATTCCAACTATTTTTATCCGTATTCATTCTGTCACCTGATTGCAGGAAAATCTTTCAATTCATTGCCTGTAAGTTAACCGTGCAATCTTTAATCCTAATTAAAACTTTACTGTAGCAAAACATAGAAACTTAGCACTCATTACTTAGATCTTGCAAAATGTGAATTATTTCTTTCAATTTTCATAATGAGCTGACATTAGTTGAAGAACCATGGAGTATTGAACAGCTGTTCCATTCTACTTCGGGACTGATCAGCAGTGCACGGCTACCGGGTTCCGAACTTACGACTTCCCCGTTACGAGATAAGCCCGTAAGCCATTCATCCATTGGCGGACTTGACTCAGATGGCCCATGGATTCCAACTTCTATCAGTTCGTGATTTTGGCACCCCAGACACTAACTGATGTCACTGGTGAGTATTTGTCCTCCACATCCGAGATGGCGGATTCTATTAGTTAAAACCCCTCACTAGACCTCTAGAAAACTTCTTGCTATGGTCAGTCACTAGCGAACATCAGATTAATTATCGAGGGTTAGTTAATAGGGATTTGATTTCTTTTGTTAAATATAACAAGTTATAAAACTGGAAGCCTATTCGTTTCTATAGATTCTACCTTGATATTTCACTAAAAAAAATGAACTGTGTTTAGCATCTTGATTATGAATGATAACATCATGTATTAGATGGTTACAGCCAACAGTTGGAAGACTTAGTTGGCACTCATCGGCAAGATGTATCTGTAGCCTCAAAGGAACTCTTGTCCCTTGTGAGATCCAAACCCGCATCAACCGGGGCTCCAGTCACAGACCTTACCAATGAGCTATTCAGGCTCGCAATTAACCTCCTGAATATATATATATAAAGGTAAAGCGTTTTAAAGGGCACTACACATAATAAGTATTATATTAGCTCTAAAATGAACTCATTAAATAAGGAGCATTTTTACTGTGGAATGATGGAGAGAGGTATCTGGCTTTCTATGAGCTGCAGCACAGACTGAAGGATTTTGCAAGAGTAGATCAGGACTTCTTCACAAAATGACTGATCTGGTTATGAATATCTGTGAGTGGCAATCAGCCAAAATTGATAGTATCAAAAAATTAGTACACTTAAATCCGTCCTTTGAAAAGTATAAGCCTTTTTTTGCCATCATAATATTGCACAGATGTCTATTAGTAATGATTTCTACGTTTATCTCATTACATGAGTGAGACAGAAAAAAATCAGTTCCCATATTTAATGAATTCTCTTTCAATTTACTGATTTCCAGACCTTGCGGGAGACGATGAATATCGTGAAATAGGACCATTGGATCAATACCTGATATAAATGTATATGAGGTCAGCTTCATAATGCTGATCGATTAATGCATCTATGCACATAATACTGTCAAGCTTTTTCATTAACTGCATCAAATTGTTTGTCTATATTTGAGTGAATACTCTTTCTAATAAATTGGAAAAAACATTCAGTTTGTTTATTTGTTTATTATTTAAATCCTTGTTGAAATTATTCGTGCCTCTTGAGTATACTTAGTCAGTGGACAAAAAACACTCTGAAGGGCTTATGTATTTCGAAATCGAAGTATTACATTCAAAATTACCTTGATGAAAGAGCATGGCAAATGACTATCTAAACACTTTGTAGTATTCTCTCACAACAGAACACTGTAGTGTCTATATGTTAGTTCCGTATTTATGAATATTCAGCGTTTGAGAAGCATGAATGTATTAACAGTCAGTGGATAGATGCTAAAAGCTTGTTCAGTATTATGAACACAACGTTTTCAAGAGTATCGCTACGACAGAACAGATATCTACTTTAAACAGACGAAACATCCACAGACACATCAATAATCTGATTAGTTAGGGAAACAGTGAAGTACCGAAATAGTGACTGTCAGTTGTGTGTGATGACCTAGATTTTGTAAACATGTGTAAATGTCATTCATCTGAGTTTCTGTTTCCAACTGAATGTTTTCGACTATACGTCTGCTATTTACGGCTATCGCATTCATCTGAAAGTCATGAGTGTATAGATCACTCCATTTCACTGTCGACTTCAGTTAGACAAGTAATCTGTGCGGAAATCATCAGAGTTATTAGTGTTAAACCTAATCAATTGAGAGAACGCTTTCAACGTTAGTGCTATCAATGATTTTAATCCTTTATTATATAAGAAAAGCATTTCAAATAATAACGTCAACATTTTGAATAAACTAACGAACTTAAGCAATCGGTCGAATTTTAACGAGAGACAAGGGGAACACGTCTATATCCAGGTAGAACTAACATGTCAAATACTTTCCAGTAAACGACAGTATTACAAGTAAGCCATTCGGTAGGAATATTTCATTCAATTCTTTCTTTACATTGACGGACAAATTCCTACAACTTACTTCAAAACACCTCCTAATGCATCCTGCGGCGAGTCTGTTTTATAAACTTCTGGGTTGGATGACTCGAAACAGTACAATTTTCTGACCTGACTTCAACCTAAATTTGTAGCTAATCAGCTCCATCAAGAAAGCGAAGCACTCAGAAATCTCATTCACAACCCCTTGTTTTAACATCTGAGGAATCGATTTCGTGAGGAGATTTTAGAGGTCTATAGTCCATGGAGCAACGCTTAGTATCCGTTCACGTTAAGTGGAATTCGATAATGTAGACTGTATACAAACCATATCACGGCATGTAAGCAATAAAGCCTAATTGAGGCCGAGTTAACTGGCTGTTGGTAAACTAAGAAAGGAATTAAAGTGGTTCAGTCAGGAGTCATGATGAAGACAAGATTCAAAATATGGATTTAGAGTATCAGAACGAGACTAATAAAAATTACCAAAGAAACAAAATTGAAATAAATTAAAATATATTCAGTCCCCATGGTGAGGTAGTATATAAATGGTGGTTTCCCGAGTGCATAGATCCTACTATATTCGTTTCGCAGAGACCGCTTCAGTGATGTGAAGTTAAGTTGACGGTTCAGTTCCATTTGGTTAAGGGAAACATCATCACCTTCACTACCAACCAGTGGACATCAACCCTCCGACGAAAACAGAAATCCTGAAGGTAATCAAGATGCTAAAAACTGGAAAAGCATCAGGACCAGACAGAATCCCAGCAAAGGCATTGAAAATGAACCTAGAGACATCAGCGGACTTGATGACACTACTACTGTAGAAGGTGTGGAAAGAGGGAAAGGTGTCTGCGGATCGGAAGAAAGGCTACTTATTCAAACTGCCGAATAAAAGGGACTTAAGTCAATGCAAGAACCAGCGAGGCATTGTGCTTCTGTTCATCCCAAGCAAAATGCTAAACCACATCATTCTGAAGAGAATTAGACATGAACTGGATGAGAAACTTCGACCTCAACACGCTGGATCCAGGAAAAACAAATCAAGCATCGATCATATCGCAACACTAAGTATCATCATTGAACAAAGCTTGGAATGGCATTCAGCTCTCTATCTCAACTTCACTGACTTCGAAAAGGCCTTTGACATCGTAAGTTGAGAGGTGGTTTGGAAACTACGTAGCTAATACAGGGTGCCGCCAACAATTATACATCTCATCCAACAGATGTTCGATAATGCTTCATGCCAAGTAATCCACAACGGGAAACTTTCGGAATCCTTCGAAGTGAGGACAGGAGTAAGACAAGCTGGCTGGCTGCCTACTATCGCCAATGATTTTCCTGATTGCAGTAGACTGGATAATGGGACAAACAGCGGGCAATGAGGAAACAGGCATAAAATGGACTCACACAAAAAACGTGGAGGATCTGGACTTCGCCGATGTGGTATATGTCTGATTTCCCACAAACTGGAATATATACAAGTGGAAAGCGACAAGTTGGCAGAAGAAGCATCCAGAGAAGATAGGACTTCCATCGGGCGAACATGCAGAAAACAGAGGTGATGAAGATTCCTAGCCAACAGAAACATAGCACGAACAATAGAAAACAATCAGAGTGATTAGAAAAAATCTGAAAGAAGCAGCCTCCTTTACCTACCTGGGAAGCATCGTTTCAACCACAGGCGGGACTGATGAGGATATCAAGGCGAGGATCGGAAAAGCAAGGCAAGCTTTCATTACCCTCAAGTCTGTGTGGAGGTCGACGGCACTCAGCGTGAAAAATAAGATCTGGATTTTCAACTCCAATGTGAAGTCACTGCTACCATGCGGATCAGAGACTTGTCGCCACGTCACGAAGGGTACTTGGAACAAACTACAGACTCACATCAACAACTGTCTTCTCTCAGTACTCAAGATCAGATGGCAAGAAAAGTTGGGCTTTATCGTGGAAACCCAAAGATGGTCATGCACTAAACGGGAGAAACTGGAGTTCACTCGTATTTCTTTCGTTTTGATTTTGCTGCAGCCGAACTCTTTACTAGCATTCGTGTCTGCTGCAGCTTTGGCGGAAGGCTCTAAGTGGAGCATGGATAATCAAACACAGACGCAAAGGCATTAGCAACACAATACGATATATCTATGTGATCATTCTACTTCCTGTTGTTTAATGTAAACTAAAATCACACTCCCAGTGATTGGTTAACGAATATTAACTATATATGCATAAACAGCGGTTTGATTCATGAAAAATATATCTCGGCTTCCGTGTCTTGCCTTCTGTTGTTACATTACAACCTCTAGTAAATTCTAATGTATATGAAGGCAGTCAGATTTATAGACAACATGAATTTTCAATTAAAACCATTGACGGGTAGTTATACCTGCATTCATATTTTTCACAGATCAGATGGATGCGCAGAATATCCTTGGCCACATGCAACTGCGTCTCACTTGTCTTTAACCGTGATGCCATAGTAAAACAACACATTATCAGCATCATCAGACAACCACAAAGAGAAGTGGGGAGAGAGACGAATAATAAGGATGTAATCAACATGTGATATGCAAATGTCAGAACAATGACAGATAATCTAGGAAAAAACGGATGATAATGACAAAGTTAGTTTAAACATAGAAACAAGTATGAATAGTGTAATTATATCGTTGAGGAGGGATTTTCCACACCGTTTATCCATTACACTGAGGTAAAACAACTGGCATTAACTTCAACACATCGACGCCTTACCACTGACTGCCATTTTTATCTCAGAAAATCAGAAATCTGTCATATTCGGATACTGCAATGCCTCACAACTATGAACGCATTACGCAAGCTCAGAACCTCACAGTCTTCAAATTCAATATTTTGTTAATATATATTCTGTATGTTAGTGGAAAGTGAGTAGTCTACGAAAATGAAGTCTGAAAACTCCAGGGATTCATTTGACAATATACAACCTACTTACAGCTTGTGAATAGCTCATAAGCGAACCAGTCCATTTAACTGTTGTTCCACGTTCTATGTATTCTCTGGGAAGGAACTTTGTTTACTTAGATCTTTTTGGAATACTATTCCTATAAATCAACGAATTTTAGTGTAAATGATGTTGTGGTGTTTTACATGAAAAAGGTTTGAAAATTTATGAGTAGTATATGAGAGAAACGGGAAAGACCATAGTAATCGAATAGATTTCTAGATAATTATTCATCAAAGAACTCACGTGACACTGAACCAAGTGGAAACAACTTTTGTTATCAACAGCAAAATTATGTATAGATGAATAAAGACGTGGTCGTCTGTCATCACATCAAGTGACTGGATCGTCTATTCAAATACTTTGACCAGCTCTTACTGACTGATCACCATAATGATCAGCAAGGCAGACTATTATTATATTGTCTGGTGCCACAGGACCAGAATAGACTTCAAAGTTTGTCCCACCCATAAAGTGAAGGGCACACACCCGATATCTATGGTATGCCTGAATTTGGGCAACCGATATCCATGCTGAAAGTTCCACACTTGTACTGAAAATACGGTGTGGAAATCAAGCTGTAAATCAAAAAAAAAATATATTGAAAAGTGAGCTTCATATTGCAATTGACTCTGACTCACTGATCTGCTACATTTTATGTTTCTTCCTCCTTGCCCCTGACAGCCAATTTGTCGGAATAGTCTTCTCTCTGAGTATTGCAGAAAATGATGATTCACTTACGTTCGGACAGATGATATGAACATTTCCAATCAACATCGATGACTACTTCATATTTCACACATTGGCAAAAAGGTATTTCCTGTATGACTCTAAAACCTGCTAAACTTAAATCCATTTCCACAAACTCCAGTGAACACTTCCAAATTATACTCTTCCGAAAACCCCACTTCGACGACAGCCTGAGGAATCAAACCTCAATTTTGACGTAACACCATGTCCTCATGTGTCAACTAATTGAAAGTTTTGTTCCGTCTACACAAAAGCTTCAAGCGATTTTGTTCTAACTGAATCATAAAGAATTGGTGGTTTCTGATGAGAATACTTCGAGATAATTAATTTCATACAACATGATTAAGTACTCATCAACGAAATCCAGTTGACATATTTAGGCTTCCTG